AAAAAAAATTTTTTTTTTAGGAAACTTTATTACATTAATAATTCCTTGAGCTTATAAGGTGAAAAGTTATTGATCGATATTCCTTTTGGAAAGGCAAAGCTTTTCGCTTCACAGGCTTACAAAGTTTTTCGAGACGTTACTGTTCATACTATTCATACTATTCGTGCATGGCTGCCTCGTGAAATTACTCCAGCACTGATTGACAAATATTGCTGCACAGAATAATTGACATCTGACTATTGACTTTTTGCATCGCCACCATCCTATAGGTCATGTTTAATATTGAAAAACTTTTCATTTCTTCTAAGATATTCTTTATTCGCAACACTTGCGCAAAAATGCGAAAATGTCATGAAAAAATGAAAAGTAAACGAAAAAGAGATAATAACCTATTAAGAAGAAGAAATTGGTTTATATTCGCTTACGAGTGCACCGCCATCCAATTTTGTGGTTCGGAAAGCAAAGGTAAAAGCGGCACATTTTTGGTTCAAAAATCTGGAACAAATTCTCTTGTTCCATGCGTACGCGTCTTATTTGGAACATGTCGTCATCTATACATAGTTGCGCAGTGTACACAAACTTTTAAAACCTATTGTGAAAACAATGCGCCCATGGTTGCATTTTATGCATGATTTCGACAGTAAGGAACGCTGCCCCTTCATAGAAGATCTGTACGCGCAGGAAAATGGCGAATGCTTTTGAGACAATGGACATTGTCGTTCAAGTTCAATGATCGTGTAATCTCCAGAAAAGCCTAGCTGAGCTTGTCACACAAATTACACGATATAACTCTATTGGGCTTTTTACTTTGACTTTATGCTGGAGCATTGGCTTGCTCGAAGGAACAATCAGCTATTCTCGCGCTACTATTCCTGTAAAGCAGACTTATACAGAAAGTTGCGAAAATTGTTGTTCAAGGCCCTATATATTGTATGTGGCAATCTTCTAGAGACCATAAGTTATGAACAATAATAGTTTGAATATTTCGTTATTTCATTTTTTTAACAATTAGAAGGTGGCGTTTTTTTTGCTCTTTCACACGCACGTTCCTCTCCCTACTTTCAATTTCAAGCGTATGTCTCAATTCCAACGAGCATAAGAATCTCAATAGCGGAAATAGAGACAGACAGACAGATATTTTTATACATCACTCTACTGAAAAGCAACTAAATGCCTCATTGATACGTTTATTTAACGCATCGTAAAACTGGTACACCGCCATATGTCAGACAAAGATATGTAATGATGTTTATTACTTCTTACTTTAATAAAAATGAGAATATCTTTGGCGGAGAACTCTTTTCCTCTTTTCCTTGACATTACTTTTCAATGTTAACGCAAGGAAGTCTTTTATCCATACATTAGATTCGAATCCGAATTAACTTTTTCTCCGCCCTATTAAATCTCTCTCTGATCTTTATCTACAACACAGTTTGTCAATTTCTTAACAACAAACAAACAAAAAAATTAATAAAGGAAAGCATTAAGTGAAAGGAAAACTTTTACTTTACTTCCGAGACATCTTCGATACACTTAACTTCTAAATACACTATCATTCAACTGGCAGCGAGTGCTTGTTTTGTGATGATGATGATGATGATGAAAGCAAGTTTCGACCAGTTTGTCAACTATGCTCACTATGTCTACTCTCTCTGACCTAATAACTCAATTAATATTCGATTTAAACGCGTCTGGCGCACTGCTGCAGGCAAACGGCCTAACCAGCCTAAACGTGTTAAACCTCAACTCTCTTCGATATTGGGATTTCTGGAAATTTTTGCGTTTCATTCTTAAATTTCACAGAAACGATGACGCAGTTAGTTCAAAACCTATAACAATTTTATAGAAGAAAACACATTTGGCTACTGAGCCACTTTGACTGTAAGGTGAATATTTTTTCGTTTAAGTACTGAACGCAAGAAAGAAGTCTGAGAAATGATTTCATTAACAAATCATTTGCAAGCTATTCAAAGATGAAATAAACGAATCCACGACATTTGTGATGACCTTGAGTTTTTCATTACCTAAACGAGACCAACTCTGCAAATATGTAGGCACAAGTCCTTTTCAAAAATTTTCCCAAGTAACCTCACAATCAATGATAACTGCTAAGAACGCATTGGAATCGACCAAAATTTTGCCTTTCATCGATGTATGCTTAAAAGGTAACGAGATGTTCTTTGTTTCGAACATTCCCGTGTCCCACTACTAATACACGAATACGGTGCAAAGAAAATATACGCTCGGAATTATCAATGATATGACGAATAGCAAGAGCACTACCTGAAAAGTTGCATATTATTTCTATTATAGACCATTATTGGGGCACATAATTTCTCATATTAACATTGCAATGCCCAACTGAATACAACTAATGAAAGCAGCAGAGATATTGATCCTTCAAATATCACTGAATTGTCAAAAAGACGAAGTCAGACAACATCTCATGAAAACTTCTTCAAATACACACAAACAATCAGTACATAAATTGGCAAGTTCTCATGGTAACAAGTAATAAATAAAATCTTAAAATTGACGACAAAAGCCATAGACAAAAAGATTACTTGGCAGACATTTAAACAAAGCCAGATTAGTTCAGCTGAAAGGCAAGTCTTTGCAAATCAATTTTGTGGAAAAGTTTACTTAATGGTAATTATCGAGGCATGCACAATAAAAACAAAGAAAAAAAAAAAAAAACAAGTAAAAACATTAAACCCGGGCAAGGGGGATTGTTCACCCCATCCCACACCATTTCTCCTAATAAAATTATTCGCTGGTTTCAGTCAAGTATTGCGTACTATTTTCATGCAAAGACATATATTTCATGAGAACCCCCATGTTGCAGAATTTCCATTCCACGGGAACCAAATCTAGGAAACATAATTTATTTCCTAAAAATGTTACAATTTTTCAGTCTTTGACATAGGAAACCAGAAATTATACTTTCTCTTCATGTAAGGGCTTGCCTTTCATAGTAAGGCTTACATATGTTAAGGTCTATACAATAGACCTATGTGGTCCAAATTCCCTACCGTCAACTTTTTTTGATTAATATATGCTATTAAAAAATTCGACGTTTTTCTGAAGAGCTTGCTATTTATGAGAAATTTTATATGAAATGGGGTCCAAGAACTAGAGCCATGTGCTGCAAATTTGGTCCACTTAATTTTTATTTCAAATTCCGCTCATGAGCAAATTTTTATCATAAAAGATGAACAATTAGAAATGATTGACATATAAAGATTTACATTTCCTGAGAACTCTTATATGCGGTGGTATCTAAATAATAGACCTAGGTAGTCCAAGTTTGCCAAGGTTAATTTCCTTGTCAATTTACTAATGTAAATCAAGGTATATTAAAAATTAGATCTTTTTATCATATAAAGATATCATTTTCGTAGGGACGATTATATGAGAGGGGGTTCAAAATATTATCCTAGCCGATCCAAAGATTCCACATCAATTTACTTTGCGGAAATAGCTATTATTTAGCTACTTTTGAAAATTGCAATTCTTTTGCCATACAACGTCTTTTCGCACTAGCGTCCTGCATATTCATCGCCTCCCTACGCATCCGATCATTTCTTTCTAGAATAAAATACGACGAAAATGCTGCTTTTCTCTTCAAAAAATTTATTGTTTTTTTTTTATTTATTTATTTTTTTTTTTTATTAGCTTAAATACAATACAAGACAATTATTGGCCGTGATAGAATTTTAAATGGGCAAAAAATTTGATATCTTGAAGACTGAAGATTGAAAGCTTTAAAATACAACGTTTGAAAACGGCCCGTGGAGTAATTCCTTAAAATGTTCAATCGTTTCATTGCATATTTATTATTATTATTATTATTATCATAAATTTTTAGGCAGAGAATAAATTCTAAGACTAGAGTCTTAAAGCACTAGCATCTAAGGCTTTCGGCTTTATTAAAAACTCTACCGCACTTGAGATTTGAACCCACGACCATTGAGTTGCTGGTCAAGACTCTTGCCTACTCGGTCACTCAGGCGGATCAGCGCAAATTTCGTTAACAGTATCTTTGTGAATAACATTCCGCAGGGAAGTTTGTTTTCAATACGCCCGGGCTGCAAAGTCACTTAATTAGTGCCTTGTGAGATTACCTTCAATGCCTCAACTACTTAACATATTTTCAAAATAAGTTTTTTTTTTCTTTCTAGTACTTAGACGTACGCGTAATAGCCTCCCCAGATATTGTTATTCTAGTATCAGACAAAAAAAAAAAAAGAATGTTACAACGGTCTAGCCCCTGCTGCTTAAGCTGTATTTATGTTTTCTACTTCGTTTCCAGGGAAGCTAACTTGTACCTTGTTATCTACATGAGATTTTCTCAGCCATCTTCGGTATATGTTTACGTTGTTCGATGCTTACCTTTGTTCCTTTTTACTAGTTTTCTTATATATTACATTTTATATTTGGCGGCGCATTGGAGGAACTGAAAAAAATATATATATGTACAACTTTTGAGACTTTCCGAATTGACCTAACACTTATATTAAAGAAAGCAATGTGTTATCTGAACTTCTTTACCCAAATGTTTTGCATACGACTTTGTTTATTTTCTTGCATTGCTCTGTCGTTTATAGGAATCGTTACTTGCAGAAAGTGTAGATTATAGGTAAAGAAAGACAGGGAAAGAGCGAGACATGTATATATAAATGTTAATTGATAAACAAAAATATAAATACGATCTGAACACAGATCGTTTGATATATTTGTTTTAAAAATTTATGCAGATTGATGTAAAAATAAATTTATTTACTATATCTTTACCTCGGCCTAAGATGCAAGCAAAGCCACATACAACTAAGAAAAACATTTTAAAAACTTTCAAAACTATTTTACAATATCAAAGAGATTTATATGGTGATAAGTATCCTCCTGAGAAATCATATACGTAATTCAAATACTATTTGTTTTAGTTAGTTTTAACAATTTTTTTTTTTTTTTAAATCATTTTTCTTACTTCTTTTTTGCAGGAGCCTTTTGTAACTGGGCTTGGGATCGGTTTTTATGTTGGCCACCAACACCGGCCGGTGTCCTGGCACGCATGCATTGTCCCTCTGGCTGGCATGGCATAGATACAAGAAGTAAGTTGAAATATTTTCGAACAAATTTACTTCAAATTAAATTATTTAGTTTTATTTTACTTTATTATATATAAATAAATTCGAGTAAAACTTTAGTAACTGAGGGTATGTATGGCTTAACATGAATCATTCCTTTTTAATAAGCTCTTCTTCTCGATGTTAAGAAGAACTTAACATTATTTATGCTATGGCAAGTGTGAACATATGCTTGTGTATTTATACATATACGTATGTATGTATGTATGTATGTATGTATGCGTGCATGAATAAAAAAAGAAACCAAAAAGAAAAAATGCTTCAAAGCTGTGTCAATTTGCAAACCAAGTCATTTTCCAAGTATTTTACTTAAAAGTTTTATTCAGTGAATTTATGATGATTTGATGCCTATGAATTTATATGGCAAAAGAAGAAGAAGAAGAAGAAGAAGCAGAAAATTAAAAAGAAGGAAATAAGCTTCGCTAGGAAATTTATTGCATTTAATATTTAATGAGCCCTAGAAGAGAGAACCAACGTGTGTGCGTGACTTTATGGCTAAATATGTATAGGTGTTTGTGCGTTTATGTATGTTTTTGAATTAGTTTTCTATATTCATTCTTATAACGAATTCATTTTTTATTTTATATTAGAAACTTTTTATTAACCATTTTTGTATAATTGTTTGCGTACCATAAAAAGTTTAATTAAATTACAAGGCATATCAACAATAAGTTATAAGAAATGAAAATGAATTCAACAATTTTTAAACAACACGTAGGCAGCTAAGCCTTAAGAATTTTCATTTCTCTCACACTTCTTGAATCAAAGAATTGAAGAGAGTTTCCTTCCGTTTGATTTCAGTCTAATTCTCATATGTCTCTCCTTCTCTCTGTCTCTCTTTCTCTATCCCGCTTTCTAATTAAAAACATCTTTTTCTAATTTGGAATTACTCTCACACACATTTTAAGTGAGTTATTTAGTAAAACTTAGCTGAAATAGGAACAAGTAAGAAAATTAAATTCGGCCCCGACGGAATCTTTTATACCCATCACTGTCTACCCCCAAAAAAAAAGGCAAAAAGAAAAAAACAAAATTTTCATGCTCTACAATAGAAAGCGCGCGCAACTGATTTCTTCCATTTTCAAAATAGAACGCATGTAGGCGCTGTAGGCGTGTCCTTTGAAAAGTCAGGTTAATTACAAATTCTTTTGCAAATTTTTAGGCGATATCTTTATATTCGCTAACAGGAGAATGTTTATCACATATACTGCAAAGTTACGCCGACAGACAGATGGACGGATGAACAGGCGGGCATGTTGACGTGCCTTCCAAATTTGAAACTGACCAAAACTTGTATACTATGTGGGGTTTTTGAAGCCTGTTTCTGTGCGTTATAAAGTTATTAAAAACGCTATTGAATTTTAATATACTATATAATACTAGGTAGACATGGTCATTTTTTTCCACTTTGGTACACAAACGCTACAGCATCACCCATAGAATATGCGTTAAAATTTTTGTACATTTTTTTGCTATAATAGTTTATGAGTAATGATAACAACATCAATTTTTCTTTCCTTTTCAATAACAAAGTCATTCTCATTTTACGTAGCACTGTAGGCGTGGCCTTCAACCGATCTGGTTCATTTACAATATCAATCTGCGCGCAAGATCTTCCAATGTTTCTGCCAAATTTCAAGCAGTTCAAGTTCAATTTATGCGGCTAGGAGAAGGTTTACAACAGATATTACACAAACAGACAGACGGACAGACGAACGTGTTTAAATCGATTTTGAATTTGATGGTGAGCAAGACTAATATACTTTGTGGGATCTCTGATGATTTCTTCTGGGCGTTGTAAACGTTTTGACAAAACGAATGTACCTCTCATCCTTCGATAATGGGTATAAAAATAATACGGACTTAATAGTCCAATCCATCACAACGTAAAACCGTGAAGGTCTATCGAAAACAACCTTGTTTCGTAACATTATTTTTCAATATCAAATGCATCCTACAGCTGTTGAAGTACAGAGTACTTCTTTGTGTGAATGTATGTAACACACAGAACGACTTAGAATAGACACCGCTTTTATTATATCCACCATTCCAAAATCATTTCTTCAATCTTTTGTTTGTCTTTCCACCTGTATGTCTACGTATGTTCGTGTTCAACCTGCAAGTCGCAGATTTTTTTCGATATTTTTAAGACATTTGTTGCGCTGCCATATTTGTGCGCTAAAGACGAACCCTATTAAAAGTGGATTAAATCATTGTCTCGCCCAATTCCCATATAAAGTTTAAAAAGTCTTTATGTGAAAGGGTATTACAACTTTCCAAGTTCCTCGACAAAAAATCATTGAATAATAGTATATCAGCATTCTAAGTGATGGCGAAAAATTTCGATGGAATGGGGCGATCCTTTCAATCCCTTCTCATACGACCGTTCCTCGTTCGAAAATTGACTATTCAAATGGTAAAAAAGACTACTTTTCAATATTCCATTGTTGCAACTGATTTATAAGAGTAATTTCATATGGAAATTAATTTTACTAAATGTGGACCATATAGATCTATTTGTTGGATCCCATTAGATACATAGGTTTTAGTGATATATAAGTCTTTATTTGACCAGAAGAGGCCGCTCTTAAATGCAGCAATTTAACATGAAAATTAACCATAGGAACTTTCGATCCACATAGGTGTATTTTTTTTCAGATCCTACGATAGTGATTCTTATGAACAGTAAGCGAAATCGCATTTGAAAAATAATAAAATTTTTTGCAAGCAAATCAAGCTTGCTGCATTTGAATCACCTCAATTGACGTTTTACGTTTTACCTCCAATATCGGAGGACTCTCATGAGAAGTATGTTTTTACGTGAAAATGATGTAAAGTAATAATTTTTGTTGGATTATCACGAAATTGAATCATTCACCGAAGTGGTGTAGGGTATTTAATTGTCGGGCTAGCCCAACTAGAATTTCATTTCATATTACGGATTTAAATGAGACGACGACGAGATCTTTATGACAGATTTCTAAAGAAAATTTGTTTAGCAAAAGGATCGAATATCTTGATAAAATATCAAATAATGCAATTTACTTGATCATCACTCTCTGCTGGGAAATTAGACATGCAGTCACAGCGATAGGAGAGATCATAAGATCTTTGGGTGATCACTAATGAAATTTTCGCTGAATTTAATAATAATTTTTAGAAGAGTGTCGATGAGTGTCGATAAATTTTATTTAAAATCTATACTAAACTTAATTTAACTAAGAATCGATTGTAACTTAAATGGAAAGAAAGTTCTCTTTGCCATTCAAACGTCAAGTGAAACGTGATATTAAAAGGAAATGTGATTTATTTATTCATTTATTTATAAAATATATATTATTTGATGTCTTTTTATTTAACTTTATTTGCAGAATTTGCGAACCGTAAATGCGAACTAAATGGTCAGTGGGGTAGTCGACCTAATGATACCTACAATCCTAATGGTTGGACTGATTATCAACCCTGTTATAAACCAGAAGTTAACGAACTTATGCAACAAGTACCAAATCTTGATGTAAGAGGTCATCTGTGCATAATCCAATTAAAAATTTCTCTTTTAAAAAGGTTCTCTTCTTCTACTTTTTTTTTTTCTTTTGTTTTTCTTTGCCTTTTCGCAATTCTTAGTTATTTTTGGAAATTGCACGCCGTACACGTACCTTGGAAATAGTTGGTCTTATTCTGTCCCTGGTGGCTTTAATTATATCACTTATCATTTTTTGTAATTTTCGCTCATTGCGCAACAATCGTACAAAAATCCATAAAAATCTATTCATTGCTATGGTTTTACAAGTTATTATAAGATTGACATTGTATCTGGATCAAGCATTTCATCGTGGCAAACAAGAAACAGCTACTAATACAAGTGTCACAGGAATTGAAAACACTGTAAGTCTCTGCTATTGATTTCCTGTTACATCTTAAAGATTATAGATTACATATAATATGCAGACACATCGTGATGTAAACGTGATTGCATTTACGGCGTGGGTCGACTTAATTAATAGAAAAATGATTTTATATAAATCTATGGCAACACGAAACGCAAGTAACTCAATGATTAAATGAAATCTTTTCCCTGCGGCATTTTTCATATTTATTTAACTGAAAAATGATAAAAATCTGAAAACAGTTTGAAAATGAAAATACTTAAGAAAAAGATTTCCAAACGGATAAGTCGCAAGACTTAACGCAAATAATTCCATTTCAATTACGACAACAACGAATGGTTTCGTTTAGAATTAGATTTCATGAACAAAATCCACAACCGGATAAAATCGGATAAAACAAAGAAAAACAAGAAAACTACGACTTTAACGATAACAACTGATTTTGCTTACTATACTATACTAGTACTATAAAATCGGATTCCTTCAACGAAATTCACAACCGGATAAAATCGGATAAAACAAAGAAAAACAAGAAAACTACGACTTTAACGATAATAACTGACTTTTCTTACTACACTATGCTAGTCCTATAACATCGCGTTCCTTGAACGAAATTCACAACCGGAGAGAGGCAACAAGTAAGAAAGTTATATTTAGCGGGGGCCGAATTTTGCATATCTCGCACTATGCTCTTCGCATTCTACTCCCCAAGTTCTTTTATTTGATACCCATATCGCTGGTATTATTAAGAAAAAAATTAATCGCGATGTCTACCGTAATCATTTTAAACTTAACCCATTTTTAGGCAGATAAGATATCTTCACTTGAGGAGTGTACAAAATAGTTTTGCACGTTTTGTCTTGTTTGCCTTATCATAAGGCGTCATAAGCGTCATTAAACCTCAAAAAATTGAAAAAAATTAAATTTAATTACTTGTAACTTCGTGTGGACGCAGCCGATTGGTTCCATTTTTGTATCTGGGAAATAAAGTGTGTCGTAAAGCGAATATGGAAAGTTTCAGCCTTTTAACTTTAATGATTTCCGTATAACGAACATATAATCAAAAAACTTTTGCTAGAAAAGACTGAGTTGCGATCAAATTTACACTCCACTGCGGACTTCTGCTATGACGAATTTAGCTCAGTTTCAATGCCAACCTGCGTGCAATAACTCCCAATGTTTCTACCAAATTTCACGTTGACATCTTCATTTTTGCGAGTAGAAGAGCGTCAACAAGACACACAGACACACAGACACATAGACGGACAGATGGATATACATGGCTAAATCAAATCACGATTTCGCGCACAGGCTGATCAAGAATGCATATACTTTATAGGGTCTCTGACGCTTACTTTTGAATATTACATACATACATTACAGAAGTGGGTATATAAAGAGCAATTTTTTTAAACGCAGATAAAATTTGCCTTTCATGACAATTAAGAGTTTTGTTTAGAGTAGTAGGGTGAATACCCCATAAAGCTGATATAAGTTCTTTTTAGTATAAGCAAGAAATAATTAAATAAATTGTTGCTTAATTTATGCGGAAATGAAAAAGTCCTTTTGAAAGAAACTCTAAAGGTTGATAAAGTGAAATAAATGCAGAAATAATTGAAAATCAGTCTTTTGCAATGACCTTTACAACGGAGGAGTCGGAACGCTAACCGGAACTGTACTCTGTTACTTCTTATTCTTTCAACACAAATATTTGTAATTATTGTCAGAAAGTTTTCAATGAGGTGAAATGAATTTGAAAATATTAAATTCAAAAGCGAAACAAAAAAAAAAATTCTTTGAGAAGATTGTGACTTTTGTACCCATCACCGTTATCCTAAAAAGAACTAAAAAAAAATAAAATAAAATAAAAAAAAAGAAAAGAAAAAAAAAATAAATTTCCCTACTCTATAACATTGGATGGGTGTGGCTGATTTTCTCCATTTTTGTAAAATAAAAGGGCAAATTTATATCGTACGCCTACTGCAATAAGTCAATGGGTAATGGGGAAAATACCCAGAAAATCTGACATCTTCTCAATTTAAATTGCACTGCGCGTGTGGTCCATTTCCAATATCGACCTGCGTGCAACAATTTGTAATATTTTTACCAAAACTCGAATAGATATCTATGTGTTCTTTGGCGGCCAAGAGTAATTAACAGGCAGATGGACAGATGGACGGCCAAACATTTTTAGAGACTACTCAGAGTTGATACTAATCAATATTATCTAGACTCGGTATGGTCTCTACAGCTTCGTACCGAGTGAAGTGCTTACGTCGTGACAGAAACATAAAATTTCAAGATTGCGTGATATTGATGATGATTGATGGCGCGGATGATTTTTTCGATTTTTGCCCAAATGCTGCACTTACAGCATATAAATTTCAATTATTTTTATTATGTATCTGTTGTGATTTATAAGTAACGTAAAAAAAAAAAAAAAAAAAATTCCAAATTTTTTTTGGTTTTGAAAATATATGTGGTCTCAAGTTATGTTGTATTGCGGTCGTGTCGCATGACCGATTCGGCGCAATTTCATTACCAACCTGCTTGCAAGTGACAAACTTGAAGCAAATGATTTCCTTTTTGCGACCAGAGTAACGTGTATCCCAGACAGTGATAGACGCGGGCAGACACACGCACATGCACATTAAATCGCTTCAGAATGATATACTAATCGAAACTGTATGACATATAATTTATGGGATCTTTGAAGTTACCCTGTGGGTGTTGCAAACGTTACATATATGTAATGCATATCCCTTGTTTGTTCAAAAACAGGTTCATTAATATAAAAGCGATTATCTAAAAATTTTGGATAAAAGCAAAGCCGACTATGAACAATTAAAAATTTTGCTAAAAGGCCTAGACTCTAATGAAAACAAAGAACAACAACTGTTCGAAATGAATAAAAAACTGAAAAAAAAAAATAAACAAATAGAAATAGTATAGTATGGGATAAGCTTGTATCCAGTGTAGAGTGCTATGGAAATTTTGCATAAAATTTCCCATAATTAATACCAAGCAAGCATAACTCAAACTCATGACACACAAACATTGACAAACAATATCGTGCAAATGCTTGCACGGACAAATACTGTAAATAAATGATTTTCAAGAAAAATGTGAATTTTTGGATAGGATTCGTTAAAGCCTAAATTGAAATACATTTTAAATATCCTTTTAAGCGTTACACGTAAATAGAAATAAGAATAGGCAGCTTGGATATTAAATTATTTCGGAAGCAATAGCAACGAAAAGGGAGCGCGTTAACGGCGAACGGATATATTTAAAACTTATACATATATAAATTTTTTTGCAAAAATCTTTGTTCTCTACTTAAGGATTGTATTGAAATTTTCTATAACACTTTTTTCCGCACATTTATGTTTTTATTCATTTTTCCTGTTCGCTTTTTTGTTTCCCTTTCTCTTTCTTTTTCGCTTTCTCTTTTTTTTTTTTTCAGCCCTATTTATGTGAAGCATCTTACGTTTTATTGGAATATGCTCGCACCGCTATGTTTATGTGGATGTTTATTGAAGGCTGGTATTTACATAACATGGTTACAGTAACGGTTTTTCAAGGACGCTTTCCTCATACCATTTTCACATTAGTTGGTTGGGGTATGCCTGTGCTAATGACAACGGTATGGGCGATTTGCACGGCCATCTATCACGATAGTGTACACGATTGTTGGTGGAATTATAATTTGACACCGTACTATTGGATATTAGAGGGACCGAGACTAATTGTTATATTGGTGAGAATGTTTAATGAATACGGAAAATTATTGATCATAAGAATATAATTTAAGTCTTTTTACTTTACATTCACTTTTTTTTTGCATTTTTTCTTTCTTTATTAATATTTGCAGTTAAATTTTACTTTTCTTATTAACATCATACGTGTCCTTGTGGTTAAACTGCGTCAAAGTCAAGCTAGTGATATTGAGCAGACGCGTAAAGCGGTCAGAGCGGCCATAGTCCTGCTGCCGTTGCTTGGCATTACAAATGTGTTGCAATTAGTTCCCGATTTACATACACCCTGGAAATTTGCTTTATGGTCCTATGTAACACACTTTTTAACCTCATTTCAAGGCTTTTTTATAGCTTTGATATATTGTTTCCTAAACGGAGAGGTGAGAGAGAGAATAGTACTGTAATCGTTGCAGTAGTGTTTGCTAATTGCAAAGAACGCAAAACACGGCAACTTAATGAAATTAATATTAATTTTTATCTTAGGTAAGAGCTGTACTGCTGAAAAGTCTAGCTGTGTATATGTCAGTACGCGGCCATCCTGAATGGGTTCCGAAACGGGCGTCCATGTATTCAGCTGCCTATAATACCGCGCCTGATACTGAAGCTCAAGCTAATCATTTAGATAATAAAAGGTAAAAATGCTCTCTTTATTATGCGGAAAAAAATTGTGAAAAGCTATCGCCCTCGTAGAAATGACTCACCGCCGATCAATAAATCACGGTCAGGGAACGGCCGTAAGGCAAGCACCACCACAGTTATACATCATGGTAACAATGTAAATCCTAAAACACACTTAACCAGTCGTCTGTCGGTTGGCAGTGTATACCGCCATCGTCAGGGCAGCGTGCAGAGTAACAACAATACAAGCTCGATTGCGAGCAACGCGCCGCAACAACAGCAACAGCAACAACGCCATGGCCGTCATAATTGGATGTTTATGTTGTGCTTTCGCGGCCATAAGGTACTTAGGGTACCGCCAGCGCCATCCGAACCTCCTGAGTCAGTTGTTTTTGAGTTGTCAGAGCAGTAGAGAATTTTATGCTTTGTTAGTTTTCTCTTTTCAACAATACTCTCTCTATACGATCACAGATGTCAACACTTTTTCACATATTAAAAAAATCTTGATACACAACCATACACATATTGTATATAACTTGCTCTTAACAATTACGCATACAATAGTTAGAAACGCTCTCTCATCCGCTTTTTCCATTCATTCCATGCATTCAATAGCTTTAGCACTTTATTCATTAGGACTTTAGCACTGTTTCGACTGCTAAAAGGCTTTTTAGATACTTACGTATGCACATAACATAGCTATTAGTGTAATATGTGATATAAAATGTTTACAGCTTCCTATGCAAATAAATGAATTCATTAAATTTTCATTCATTTTATTTACGCACAAACATTTTCATTAAATTTCTTTTCCCGTGAGAAAAACTCTTCCAGTGATTCATTTCTTAAGACATACATCTAATTGCCTATATATGTAGGAATATATGTGATATCATAATTATCACATGTGCTTTTTGGCACACATAACACATAAATTAAAGCGTTCAAATTATTTTTTTTAATAAGTCTCCTGCTGAGGAACTCAATGTAAAATCCATATTCTCTCGCAATTGTTGCTTAAGCCTAAAAACGCGTAACAAATGACAAATTTTGACCCACGATAACCTTAGCTTACATTATTGTCTAATTATATTGAAGCTCTCCTTCCGCAAGTAAATTCTCCAACGCAAAATATTGCTCGATTGATTCGTCAATATATTGATTACGCTTGAACTCTGTAGCTATTAAATATTTTTCGAGATCGATTAAGTCCTTGATCCGATCTTCGTAACGATATATCGCAAAATTATTTTAAACATTTGTTTTCATTAATACTTCGTCCGCATCTCTGCGCATTACAGATACATTGTCGGCTTGGAAGGCAAAGAAACGAAATATATCGGAACTATCTACCTCTCTTTGCCACGTCCAAAATACACGTGAACTTTGTATGTTTGCGAAACGTCGACACACATTTTAATGACTCTCATATGTTATATGTCCCAAGTATTTTTTTATGTTTCTTTATTTATATTATTTTACTATATATATATATATATATATATATATATATATGAGCAACATATGCGGAAATTGTTATCCAAAATAATGAATCCCCGCCTTGATGGCCTTACTCAACGCGTCAAATAGAAGCGATAACCGTTGCACGCTGGAAGTAGAAAAATTCTCACCAATAGGGGGACCTATTACCCTTGAGGTCCCATAAAGATTGGCAGCGTCAAGGCCTATATAACATCTCACTATTTAGTGCCCCCACGAAGCTTCGGGGTAACCACAACCACTAATATACAAAAGCCATATTTCCAATGTTCAAATGAATAGTACATCGTACATACTAGGAGTGATCTGTTTATGGATAACGTAATCCACGTGAAGATTCAAAATTTTTATATAACTTTTGGCAAAACTATACGAAGCTTTAGCCAATCCTGCATTTGTCTTCTCCAGCGCCATCAGAACTGACTGGATAGAAATCACATCAGATGAATAGCCGCGACCACGATGAGATAAAGGTTTTGCGACTACAAGTAGCTGTTGCATTATAGCTAGTCTAGGGAGTATTGAGAATTTTGCACGTAATTCGATGAATGACGTTTAAAATTAGGCAAGTAATGTAAGATATTTATATTCCCTACACCACAACAAGCGTGTGTTAAATTAAATCGTAGGATAATATGTTCATTTATATATATAACGACAGAACAAGGCATTATATGGCAAGTGGCCGACAAAGTGATCTGATCTGATCTGCATCGCGTACGAAATCTGATTAAAAGCTCTCAAAAATTGCGACTTATAGATTGCATCTAAAAAAAAAAAAAAATCAAATAAAATAAACAGACGGACAAGCTTACATCAATTTAGAAAGTCATTCTTAAATGATCGATGGATCCACCGAATATACTCTTGTACTTCGACTGGTGTAGGGTATACAAAGATGAATACTCGGAATTAAAATTAAAAAAAAAAAAAAAAATTGATGTAAGTGAAGAGCGAGTACAACGTCTGTAAGTTTGTGTTCAACTACAGAAAGTGTAACTGAGGGAAAGACAATCCGATGGATTGGAATTTGCTCAGCACAATTATAAACGGTTAAGGGTACCACTGCAGACGCAGGCAACAACCGAAACATGGATTAAGAGTGTTTTTTGAAAAAATATTCTCGAATGGAAGGAAAGCTGACAGAATAAATAATATTTGAACAACTTCTTAAGCATATAATTAGATCTAAATATATATTAGGTATATATGAATGTGTTTTTGAAAAATATATTTCATTCATTCATTCATTCATTCATACAGATGTATTTAATTAAAAACGCTCTGCAACTGATGAAAAAGAGACTCTAAAAAAAGACGAACATTTAACTTTCACGCCTATAACAAGCAGATAGGATGAGGACGAGTATCTAGCTAAAAAAAAATCATCTTTGGGTCAAACAAAAGAAGGCAAATTTTTGTTAATAATTAACGCTTAAATTAACTTATCGAAAATAGCTTACGCGTATCACTTGAGAAAGTTTTTTGAAAGATACCGCAATGCTTTGTAGAGATGTTTTTTTAATTGAAATTAAAAAAAATTTCACTTAGTTTTTTCGATTATTCCGTTATCTCGCTACCATGAAAATAATTTCTCATTTTCAACAATTCTTCTTCATTCTCTTTCGCCGAAAGAGCCGTTCTTACTGCACCTTTAAAGGGTAGAACCATATCTTCTACGTTTCACGTGTCGTCAAATACGTTAATAAAGGAAACGGCAGCAAGATTAATGACTCTATACCCGAATACATAAACAATATGAAAAATTTTAGGCAAAAGTTTTAATTTCTCATCACAAGCAACAAAAGCTTTCAAATCATTCTCAACTTCTTATCGACTCAAAGGTCGTCTTTATGATGCTTTTGTTTTTAAATGCAAATGAAAACCTTCTGGAGACATCTTCTTAGTTTAATACGGGAAATAGACATCAACAGCAGGTGAGACATTTGACTAAAATTTCTCAGCAAAGATTCATTTGACACTCTACTACTCTTGGCGGCAAAAAACACGAAATTTCAAAGAAAAAATCATAAAATTTCATATTCGAGACTGGCTAAAGCGTTTATTAAGTTAATAAAAAACAAGTAAAAACAATATAGTTGGACTAAGTCGACTATTAAATACCCTCCACAGCATTGTTTAACGCAGTTCTTCTTATTTTTATTATAGAACACAAAAATTATATCATGTTGCTATATGAAGATATATATGTGTCATGTGCGTATTTAAAGGGAAGCGGGCCCAAACTCAAACTTACGTAATACAAGTTTAATCCTTACATAGGGCAGAGTCCAAGAACAGGCATATATGATCCAAATTTCGTAGAATTCATTTATGTAGGAAATTACTATTCTGCTGTACAAAGGATCAATTTTCTTGAAAGATATGAGAGGGTGTTCAAAAATTGCTCCAATCGGCCGAAAGTTTTCCTACCAATTTAAAGCGCCAAAATATTACTAATTAATCATTTTTGCCGAGATATTTTTTTTCTATATAATAAGGCGTTATATGCAGAATGATCGAAAACGTTGACCGATCCGAACCATGTTCAATAGCATTCGCCTTTGGGTCAAAACACGTCTCTATACGAAATTTCACCAAAATATTTTAAAAATTGTAACCTGTAGATTGAACACAATTTTACATCGACAAATATCGGACAGACAGGTTTAGATTAATTTAGATTACGGTTCTGAACTGAATGAAAGCGGATCTATCTTAAGCCTTTCTGCGTATTGTATACCTCCACACTAACTTAATATACCCTGCACCACAAGTAGTGTAGAGTATAAAAATTGAATCTATCTTTAGCCCATCTGCGTCCGCACTACCTAAAACCACATGTAGTGCAGGGTATAAAAACAAAAACTTTTTTCCCTAAATGAAAAAATATTACTGAGAATTCCACTTTAGTTGAGAAAATGAAATGAAGTAAAGCGAAAAGGAAGGGCGAGAATTTTGAATTTCGTGCTCATTTATGCGAAAATCAAAGGCGTGAAATAAGACGTGAATGGAAATGCGAAAGGTAACATACAATGAAACACTATGATTTGATGACCCGAACTGGAGAAAGGTCTAACATTAAAGGAGGAAGTTAAACCCTAACTCCATAACGCGGTAGGGTTTACAGTGCCATGCAGTAGTGGTGAAGTTGTCACTCCAGAGGAATTTACTTATATGTATTGTAAAATGATTCAAAATTGATTGATTACCTGAGAGTAGGGGATAGATGCCGACATTAGTTCTCTTAGATGTGGAGCATAAAGCAATTTAGCTTCATCGATCGTAATATATACTACAAGTATAGGTCATTACAAATCATTTCACGTTTTCTGAGAGAAAATTTCTTTAGATTTTCTTCTATTTTTCTTTAATAGCATTTACTGAAGCACTAAGCTCTGGCGTAGTTTAGTTTGTAACAATTTAAAGCAAATAGTTTTGCGGGAAAAAAACTTATCCTAAAATTACTTTCCCTCTTTTTGTACTAACCGATGCCCCTACTTATCCCCAAATCCTAATTTTTTCACTGTAATAACAAACGATTTGACTTTTTTAACGAATTCTGGCGGATGTTTTATCAAAACTTATTTTATAAAAACATTATTTCCAATTAATTTAAACAAAAAAAAATATTTTGTATAAAAATGCTTTATACATGGCATGCATTTTTTAAGTATTCCTCTTAATAAACAATTAATTATTTAAGGAAATGGTTATTTAACAAAAAAAATACAATTTTTTTCTTCTTTTTCTAATTTTTTTTTTTTTTTTTTTTTTTTTAATTTTAATTTGAAAAAAAAATCATGTCTTTTTTTTATTTTCTTTTTTTTATCCTTTTATCTCTGTTCATTTCAGAACAAATGTGTGATGCCTAGTAATGAAAGCCAATTGCCTCCGCAGATATTTATGACAACTAAAACGGAAACGTTAACCTAAAACCTATTTTCTTCGAAATGTAGGCCTCTTTACAACAGCTATAAAAAAGGAATTAGAAGAAGAGACAAAAAGCGAAAGAGAGATAGAGAAAAGAAAAAAAGAGAAGCCCGCCATATATTATTTTAAAATTTTACTTAACAAGAACTAAAAAAGAGGAAGAAAAAGAAAAAAAAAAAAAACACAAAAATTATATTTACTTAAATAAAATAATTACTATATATAATGTAAGGAAACAATTAATTAATTTAATTTAAAATTTACTGAAATTTTTAATGAAGAAAAGTAGTAGAAAAACGAATTTACATTACATTGCTTGAAAAGCTTTTCAATGCAAAACAAATTACTTTCGGCTGAATTTTCGATACCCTCTGTCAAAGGATCAAAAATATGTATATATGTATATACATATTAATATATATATGTTGACTATTACGAGTATTCGAGCGGAACATTATGGAGGACACACAACATAGTATGAGTTTTTCAAGATATGTATTCATCTAGAATTAAAATCACAATTTGATAGAATTTCACTTTATCCGCTCTTTGATTCAAAAGCCTTAGCATTTAGATAGAGTTATAAACGAATCAAATGCGTCCTTAAGCTTGTTATTGTGAAGAGTTACACAATTAAATTAAGTCTCATTACGTTTATTTTTACCCAAGTGGAATAATGATGCCTAGGAGGATTTTATTGTAATTGTTTCTTTGATCAAAAATTCCCGAGAATATCTATGTAAAGAAATGAATAAATGCGATTGAACAATATTTAAAAATTATACATGGGTTTTGAAAAATACTAAAAAAAAAACACTTGAGATCGAATTAGAAAAATATAGTCGAAACACTCGAATGACTATTTTTATAACGATGCAAAACTCCGGCGATTTAGAATAAATTGCGGAAACCTTTTAGTATATGTGAAACCAAATCTTTGAAATGATCTGCATCCGATTCCAACCTATTGTAATGCAGAGAGACCATTGAAGAAGAGGCTTTGAACATATTCGTCAGAGTATCCAATACGAGTCTCGAAGTAGTCAAAAAAAAAATTATGAAACTGCTTACATTGCCCGGTGATAATATGAAGCATTTCTTAAAAAAATTCTCTTTTCTCGTTTATAATGTAAATTGGTTTTAAAACTATGTCATTAATACAACGTACTCGAGTAAGTTCAGGTATTGTGCACTCTTAAGAACGAACCACTTGAAGCATTAATAAACTTTACATTTTAGTTATATATTCTCTTTTCCATTACAACATGTTTTTATTACTAAAAAATAATATTTTGAAAAAATAATTTGAAAACTTGTTCCGATATCAAGTCCTTTTTGACTAAGACTCTAGCCATAGTTGATTGTTTACTTTAAATCATTAAATCAAATTGCGGATGCGTTCGATGACGACGTCCGCATTTCGTTATCTCTTGCCACATGACTTGTCAAAGTCTACTATTTAATCAGGAAGGATGGTGTATGGTCCGACTACGTTCCAAACTTAGCCACATCAAAAATGACATTCCCTCTTGGCCAGCACAAATTTAGAGTTCGAGTTAGCGTCGCCCAAAACAAACGAATAACAAAAGTCTTCCGATTATATTTCGTAATATTTCCGGTCATATGATTTGGCCTTTGATGAAGACGCAATTTGACTGATTAGATAACATTTCTAGCTAATAACTAATCATTATTGCGATAAATTTATGGAGCATAGGGCAATTTATGTAACTGCTAATGTTAAGCTGAAATTTTTGATTCGCTCAAAATTGAACGAAATTTTTTTGATTCATATATTCATTCGTTAACAACTAAATCGCATTTAGCTTTCACGACGTCAAGAACGACGTCATTTGACTTATTCGTATCGTGCACATATGCCATGACGTTGCGAACAAGCTAAAACTAAACCTGAGATATATGGGTACATTAAGTCTCTGCCAGTGTGTGGAACGGCCAGATTTTAATTAGAAACATCTTTTTTTTGTCAATCTGCTGAAAATCATTTTCTGAATATATATAACTATGTCTGTCCATATGTCCTTTTGTTTCTCAAATTTGTGTTCTGGTGATTATTAACATTTCCCGACAAAATCGCTACTTTATTACACTCAATATGATTATATATTCCACCACTTGTGATATATGGGTGCATTAAGCTTGTGCCAATGCATAAAAGGCCCAGACTTAGGGTACACCCACCTTTTATTATATCAATTTACTCAAATTCATTTTCGGAATATGTATAACTCTGTATGTCCGTATGTCCGTCTATTTCTCTAAGAAGTGTTCTAGTGATTTTTAGTATTTCTCGGTAAAATCGGTCGAAAATTGTTTTGTGGTGTATAAAAAAAAAATTTGAGTCGGTTTGCTCTGTAAAATTTGATATTTTAGGATGAAAACGAGTGATCTGAGAGATAAATTTACTGCACTAAGTTTGAACAAGTTTAATCTATTTTTCGAACCCCCTGCCAGTCTAAGAGTCTTCGTGAGCAGTAAAGCAACAAAATATAATTTTTACTATTTAATGACAAGAGGCAAAGTCGTTTAGAGAATTTGAGCGTCGAACTTCTGCGGCTATAACGTTTCAACTAGTTTAGACTACACAGTGACTATAGTTTCCTCGAGAAATGACACATGCTCAATGTTCAAGGTGAATATATTCCGCTAATCTTCTAATGCAAGTCCACCGAAGTATCCGTCTCTTTCTCAATTTTCCGCTAATGCGAATCTTTTAAATTTTCTTTATTCATTTTGTCCTTTTAATATGGCCAATCACTTAGAGAAAGAGAGAGAGAGACACGGAGAGAAAGAAAGAAAGATAGGGGAGATGGTGGCCACAATCTAGTCGCTCACTGTAATGTCTATAGCTATTACCAAAGTAAACTCTAACGTATTTGAGATTTGAAACCGCAAACACTGACCGCAATCATGAGTGAATGTAGCTTTTCTTGTTCATCATTTCTCAAAAAAAAAGACACAAGAGATAAATAAATCAGTTAGTCTATCACGCTAAGAGCAACGAAAATTTCTCAACAAATAAAAAAAATTCAATTTGACTTCAACGCATAATTAAGTGAACATTCTTTGCAACCTGTCCGTTTTATATCCGAAATAATATCAGATTTTATATTAAATTATAGACATTTTTCTGACTACTTGAACTTACTTGATTTCATTCTTGCATATGTACATAAAATATATTTAGATAATAAATGTACTAAAACATAAACTTAACCCTTTCCACTTCTGTGGCGAGTCATATGTCGGGATCGTATTTCTTACACCAACTCCCATAACCGATAATCAAAAAAAAAAATTTTTTTTTACAAATACTAAATGTGTCCTATTTCGACTACATCACTTTTTTTTTTTTTTTTCATTGAGAAATTAATGAATGGATAATTGGGAGTGCAAAGGGTTAATTATATATTTATTTTTGAAATTTTTTTAATTTTTATAAATTAAACTTAATTTCTTTTGTATTTTTTTCGTTTTTTTTGCAATTTATTTTTTAAGAAATTAAATGTAAAACAAGCTCCTATTTATATAACTGTAAGTAGTTTTTAATAATACATTAATTAAAAATAAAGTAAAAAATATTTAATAAGTATGGTGTTAACTGGATTCACCTTAAAGCGCGAACCTTATCGGATACTGACACTGAGGCTATTGAGCAATTGTTTAGTCACTTTAGCGTATGAGTAACATATTAGTAAAATGAATATATTTATATGAGAAAATTTTATTATTGACACGGTACAAAAGTCAAAAATTGTACCTTATATAGGAAAATTAGGCGTCAATTAGATGAGTAAGGGTCGCATTCAGGGTTTTATGCTCCCTATACAATAGAATATCTTTTTGGTTTAGTAAGACAAAGAGACAAGTCTGTTATATACGATATAAATGCTCGGCCCAATTATTGATCCCATTAACATTATTGGACACTTGGGGAGAGGTGGAAAAGTGCCATAATGTGCACACTCGACACACATAAAAATTTCACTTTTGTTTCGAGGAATTTCGATAGATGACGAACCGTCTTGCAGTGGTATGACTCGATCCATTTTAACTCATATTACTTTCGAGAAACAATAAAAATTATTTACATTATTTCTTTTATGTTGTTCACCAATAAAGCCGAAATGTCTGATTGTCGGTCTCAATCTATTTTTTTTTTTTTTTGTTTGTTTATTATGTGTGAATGCACAGCAGTTTGGAATTCTTATACATTTTCAGAGGGATTTGTAACATATTTACAAGACCTATTTATGTTATCAAAAACTCAGAACGTATGCCCTAAGCGCGTTAACTGACCCATTCAGATAGGTGGTTCAGATATCATAATTCTCTTAATGTATTAAAAATTTTGAAATATTCAACTACTAAGTATTACTGCTTTACGGAGAGGTGAATATATATATATATATATATATATATATGGAATATGAAAACAAATACACACACACACGCACATAGGTGACCCATTTAAGTTTGTTAATTAATAAGAAATCATGGGAACCAAAAAAAAAAAAAAAAAGAAAAAAGAAAAGTTGATCGTGATAACGAAACATAATAAATGAATATCTTCTTATATTATGTTATACTATATGGATTGAGAAAGTTCTTATGCGATCCAGTTGTAAAAGGAATGATTGATTAATTACTTAGGGTAAGGGATTTATATAATAAAAATTGTTATTGAAATTAGGTATATAAGTATAAGCCGAAGCATTATTTTTATAAAATTGAAAATTGCAACGCTGTACTTACTATAAACATGTTTCTATGATGTTTTTGTAAGCCCTTAGCGGAGCATTTAAGAATGACCTATACAAGTGTTTAGAGAGATTAACTTGAACACCTCAAACTCACCTGCTTTTGTTGCAAGCATAATATTACAATTATATGTATGTATATGCTGGTTTCAATATATATTTTTATATATATAAACTTCTTTCTGCGAAGTAAGACATATTTATTAGCAATTAGCAGAAAGCTTAAGCCTCAAGTACAAAATTAAATAAATAATTATGGTCTCTACGAGGAAGCTGAAAGCCTAATTCATCAAACTGATACTATTATGGTATTGACATCAATAACACTCAAGTATACTTATATATAAATACTTTTTCATTTTTCTTATTTTCATTTTTATACATTTACCTACCTGACTTAGTATAAGGAAAGATTTAATTTTTTTTTTTTTTTTTTTTTTTTTTTTTTTTTAATTTAAGCGTATATACAAAAAAAACTTTGAAATTGAATTTTTAAGCTTTAAGAAAATCTAAAAAAAAAAAAATATATATATATATATATGCATATATATATACACTGTTGTTAATATTAACTGAATAATTCCAAAAAGGATAAATAAATGTTTAATTTTTATAGAAAAATATATTAAAAATTGTTTCACTCATTTCAAAGATAAAATTCAAAACGATTCTACATGATTAACCTTGTTAAACCCTACAGCCTACAGTTTGTGGTACAGAAAGACTTTAGATGAACTCATCATTTATTATCATCATCGAACTAATTATAATTGATTCCGAATTATTTTCTTATATTGAACTGAGCTTATCTGTCCATCTGCCCGGATCAGATATCTGACCCTCTTATATTTTTGCTTTCAACTTACAGGTGTTTCTACCCAAGAACGAACGACAACTTCTCATATATGAAAAAATTGAAATATGGTACGCAATTTGTTTGTCGGTCTTCTTTACTTGTGTTCAACCTATACGCCGCAATTTTAAAGATATTTTAATGAAATTTGGCACATTGACGTGTTTTGACCCTTTTGACCCGAAAGCTATTAAGAATGGTTCGGATCGCACGACTCTTTCGAACACTTCCCATTTAGCGCTTTATATTAAAAAGTTGTTATATTATAATATAAATAACTACACGATGGTGTGCGGCATTTAATGGTAGACCATGGCCCACTATGCTGTTTTTACTTGTTCTAACTAAATAAAAAATTTTTTTCTAATACATTTTCATTGAAATTTATGGCTTTATTTGGTGAACATAAAATTTACAATTGTTCAGTATAAAGTAAACGATGAAACGAAAACAAATTACATTTGCTATCTATCTACCCTTTGACTTTTTTTTCAAGCATGTGACTATTTATTTAAAGGCACAGATTTCTCTGAAGATTTAATACTACCATGAAGGTTTTACCTCACGGTGCCCGATGATATACGGGTTGATTTTGCGTAACTGGCGCCCACCAGAAAGTTAGACAATCCCTCTAAGCCAGAGACTTAAACTACACTGGAGAAATCAGATGTGTTTATTGTATATGGCCCAATAAACCCACTCTGAGGAATGTTGAGGTCTACCATTACCTCTAATTATTCGAATTAGTAATGATGAAAACCGCATTCACCACTATTCCCCACGAACGGCCGTACCCAACAGTCAGGACTCACACGTTGGCTAACTGCCGCGTACAAACTGGTGATTGGGCACTACTAGCTTCCGTCGCGGTTTCAACATGTATATAAGTATGTAATTTTTCCCTCGAAAGATTTTGGCACATAACAATCTGCAGTACACCAATGCAACCATATCCAACCCACAGGTACTCGTAACTTTGTGAATGGGCTCCTGACCCCTGTGGACCATAACTTTAGACTATACAGTGTAAAGACACTAAACGGTGTATGCCTTTGCTTTGCAGACTTTTAATATAATGTAGAGCCGATAGCCTGTGTTGCTAGTGCTCAATGTCTTTTTTTAGTCTAAGAATTCATTTCATTAGTCTAAAATTAAAATAATAATAATAATAATAATCTAATGTAATTTTAAAGTGGAGTCTTTGAAGTCTAATTAGCAAAGCCATTATTTACCTACTCTCTTAACAGAGTTCTGTAAACGTCCTAACAAAGTTCTATTAAGTATTTAAGACTAAAATCGGAATATGGATTTGGAAGTTTAGTCCGTCCAATCGAGCTAGAGCGTGAAAATTCTAATACAAATTCTTGTGCATACAAATAATGAGAATGAAGTTATATGGTAATCAAAATAGTATTTTATTAAAAAATTATGCGATAACATCATCGTCAAGCATCTTTTTTCCTTAAATAAATAAAATGCAAATATGTGAAGTGAGTTTCTGCCATGATGTAAACCGCTATTCGAATCGTTGTTAAAATCATTATGAGACGAACGAAGTAAAAGGTAACAACTGGCGAGAACGGTTGACAGTAAATGGCTTTTGGTAAAAGTCAAAGAATAAAAATGAATCCTTCGCTTACGTTCATAATAGCGAATGATGATGGAAAGCTTAATTATGGTTATATTTATTAAAACGCAATCTGGTTGCTGGGCGATGAAAGTTCATAAAAGCATAATTTATTAAAAGAAACCATTTAATCCTTTAATTAGCTTGGTTCGCTTTAAAGCAGCACGAACAAAAAATATCATATAACAACAAAACTTGAGACCGGTTTATGGTTCTCGTTATCGAGAACAAACTCAATAGTAATTTTTACAATTGAATCTCGATTTCGCTGCCGACGATTTATCGAGTCGATAAATTATGCATTTCTCATACTATCGAGCAAAATAAAATATTCCTATGAAATGCGTGCACCGGTGTCCCTCGCATAACATGGCTAATTTGTAACGCGATGTGTCGAAATCCTGTTATACGAAACTTTTTTATTTATTCATTTATTTAAACTGAACTATCATCATCATATAGAGTAAAGTAATTTAAACTTAGTAATGTGCGACGCGTAAAATGCTACTCATGCTGTTGCGTTGGGACCCGATTGCCTCTCTTCCCCCCCTATGAAAATAGATTGCTTCTGTTATTCTTACCGTCACTTGAGAAACGAAGGCTAATTCTTGGCGTTTCCTTCTTAATCAAAGCAATAACTGATACTATAAACTCGCCCGCATTACTTGATGAGATAAGCTTTAATATCCCGGACCGCTTCTCTAGGCACTTTATCTTTATTGAGCTTAGTCCAATATAAACACAATTATCAACTGTTGTATGAACTGCCCGCTCAGAGTTGTTTGCACGAACCTAAACGATGTCTATCACTTATTCTCAATATCGGATTCTTTAAAGCCTACTATTAATGCAATTTTGCTTAATACGCGCGATTTAAATTCTCTTCTTTTTTTTTTTTATTTCGAGACTTAGTGGGGATGTTAACGTTATCGATTGCCAAGCTTATGCATGTTTGCAACGGTTTAGGGGGTTCACTTGCAACCTTGATCTGTTCTTGTTGTGGGTGTGCTTCAGTGCTAGCTGTGTACATTGTTTTTTTTTTTTTTTTTTTTTTTTCTTTCTTATTTATTTATACATGAATTATTATTGTTAGTTACTTTGTTTTTATTATCCTTTCTTCACCTCTTCCTATACATTACTAATTATTAAAATAATATATAGTATAAGATTTACTATTAAGATTTACTTGAATCCGACAGTTAATTTAGGTTAGTTGAATTTCATGTAAATAAATAAATAAAATAAAAAAATAAAAATGAAAATGAAAAAAGATTTATTGGTTGTGTATAGCGGAGATGTGCTGTCATAACGTCACTGCCAAAATTGGTTTACAAAATATCGTATAGCTCAAGATGCATTACGTGCTGGAACGCCAGTTGAAACTAATAATGAGTTAATGACAAAACAAAGGCATTAATTGAGCCAAACCGTTGCATAACTATTCGCGAGACCGTTAAGAAATTGAATTCCATGGTCACGTAAAACCTCTCGATCTCTTATTTTGCGCCAACAAAAAAAATAAAGAAAAATGATTTTCCCAACAATCTAATATAAACTCATGAAACAATACCATCGACAATGATCACCGTGTCGAGGATCGTAAAACGACGCAAAATTTCGACTTCAATATGGATGTTTCAGGTCATCGTATAAAAGCTTAGGTTCATTAAAGTCGCATCCCTTCAAGTAAAGTTTGTAAATAATTTATAGTAAACAAATATATATATATATATATGTTAACTGCGCAATAAGCAATTTATTGTATTATTAAGTATATTAAGCTTTTTATATTACTCCACAATATAAATTCCTCCTCGTTTTTTTTTTTTTTTTCTTTCTTTATTTCATATATTTAAAATATTGTATATTATTTGTTTATTTGAAAAATACTTTTGTTTTTATTTCCTAAATAGTTTGATATTTTTTTTTTTTTCCAATTGATTTTTTTACATCATTTTCTCTTTTTCTTATTTATTTGTATTATTAATTATTGTATATAAATAACATTAATTTTATAGAAGCCTAAAACAAAATTCAAAAATTAAAATCGTTAATCTTATATATAAAAAAAAAAAAAAAAAAAAAAAAAAAAAAAATTGTAAGATTAATATAATAAATAAACTAAATTATGTCATAATTAGAAATAATAAAAAGAATAATGAAAAAAAAAAAAAAGCTAAATTTAGGAAAACATGCGATATATAAAATTTTCATTTTCTTCTTCTTTATGTAAATAAATTTGTAGTAAAAAACAATTCAGTCATTAGTCGAGTCATTATTGATATCTTATATTACGTAAGACTTAAAATAGTTAGGAAACTTAGTTTTAGGATATGTGCATAATTAATTAATTATTAATTATTAGCTATAATATTATTATAATACAGAGGACGGATTATTGTTAAATAAAAAAAATAAAGGAAATGAAAATAAAAATAAAAGACGATTACATAAAAATATTACTTTAAATTTTTTATCCTAAACGCGAGTGGGAATAAATCCTTTCATCTTCATCATCTACAATTAATTTTGAACTAATTCACACAAGCGATCCATCCGGGAAGTACATATCACAACAGGTCCTGATCCATGTTTTCGAATATACGACGGCATAGGAAATACAATATGCAATAAGATGCCCAGGAATATACGGATATATTTAAGACGATTCACATGAACCGATTTTTATGCATTTGAGTAAAAAAGTGCAAGTCCTTCTTTTTTAATGGTATTTATCATATCGTGCATCATTACATCCGTACTTTTTTCACTTTAGACAATTTTCTCTATCCCGTATCCCTCCCTCTTCTTTTGCGAATCAAATAGATGCGAACGACAAACAAGCGCGCATTATATACTCTACTAAAGAGGATATTTTTGTGCGACTTATGTGTAACCTGACCCTGTTAAAATGTTACAATTTTCGAACATTAGTCCATAAAGTTGATTTGTCAAAGAAGTGGCGAGATTTTTCAATTTACCTACAATTAACGCGTAGATCCGCAGTGTGATTTTCAAAAATACATTATAATTATCGCAAATTGTTATTGTGTGCCCTTGTCAAAAAAGTAGTGGAAATTTTAAAATCACTAAACAGAATTTGCTTTTGTAAGTCAATGCACTATGAAACATTTGGCTGAGTAAACTCTTTATCTGGCCTGAGTGCCGACGGGCTCGTTTCTCTCGACAGACTATTGTGGTCTAACTACGAAACAGAAAATTTGCTTCAATCCCGCCGTTCTAATGCATTTTTGTACATGAAATTGAGAAAATATTGGAAAACCTTCTACGGTACTGAGATTATATGAACAAGACTTGCTCTTATGATCGGTATAAAACGTTTGAAGGAAACTATCAAGTAATTGAAGACTTGCCCCGCTCTGGTCTGGTTGTCGATACTGCTCAACAAATTTAATCAAATGGTGTGAAAGAAGTCATCATTTGATCTTAAGAGAAGATAAGTCTTACAATAAGTCACAACATATTTACGTTATTTAATATTAATATTCGAGTTACGAAACTTAGTTTGTCTTACTTCACAAAAAGTTCAAAATTTATTCGCCCAACTCAAGTGACACTTTGCTGCAAGCGACCTTCGGCTGATAAAAGATCATAAGAGAAAGTGGGGAAAAGACTTCGCTAATATTGAGCTCAGCCAAGTCTTTCAAATAAAACCAACTATTTTTATTTAGACCAATATAACCAATATTAACCAAATATTGTTGTATTAAAAATTTCCGTTACCTTTTTGAGTAATGAGAGCTGCCAATTATAATAGCGTATGTTACAAATTTAAGGATGCCTCATATTATCGAGTGAATACTTTTGAATATTTGAGAAGGGTATCTGTTTTGTGAAAATTTTAACCCAACCTATCGCTAGATGTAACTTCAGTCTGATCTTGATCGCATTTACTTAACTATACTTCAATACTGTTCAAACTGCCCGATGAAATGTTGTCGTTGTGGCTACCAAGGCGGGAACGCTGTTTCATTATAGCTGCTCGACTGGGCATGGGTGAACGTTGTACGCGAGGGCTGCTGCTGATGGGTATGCCAATGCTGCCATTTGAATTATTAGCGTTGGCCGTTGAACAGCCGCTGTTACCGCCGGACGTACGTCTAATGCGGCGTAAAGAAGGTATTCTGGTAGGTAAGCCAGCCTCCATACTTAGGGCCGTTTCATTACCACTGCTAGGGTAAGGTAAGTTTCGTTGACTCCTATCGAGCGTGCGACGTTGTTGTTCAAGAGATGGTGTTAAAGGTGGATGAGGCGGCAATTGGGCATGACTGATGTTATGGTTATTATTTTGATGTGGAGGCACCGGCGGTGGTTGCTGATGCTGATAGTCTCGTTTATTCAACATGGTAGGTGTATTGGGTGTTGTCTGATAGTATGGTTCAGCATGATGAATACCTTGTCCAGCCTGTGAGGAATTGTTTAAAACATGATTTATTGTGGAAGTTGATTTAGAATTTAACGACGATTTGTTCGGGTTGATATGTTGTTGTTGTTGGTGGTGTTGTTGTTGTTGTTGTTGTTGTTGTTGTTGTTGGAGCTGTTGCGCTTGAATGCTTTTGCCAGCTGCATTATGTTTATTAGGCAATGGTGGCAGCGGTTTAGATAGAGGAGAACCAGTTGTATTTGATTTACTGTTTATTTTATAATTAAGACAAATTCCCTCGCCAGCCTGCAAGGTTTCACATGAGGATGAAGACGCTCGGTGAGGTAATTCCTTTACGTAGTCGTTATGACAGTCGCTACCGTTAAGGTTTTCAATGGATAGAGAGGAATTTTCATTCGATTTGGCGTTACAGATTTTATTAGTGTTGCTTGAAGCGGTAACGCCACTGCTACCACTGCTGCTAGTGTTCAAATTGGTGTTGCTGTGATTGGCCATAAAACGCAGTTCCATGACATTACGATTCTAGAATAAATTACGCTGATATTTCTATAGCTAAGCTAGTACCACAACAATCGAGGTACAGAATGTATTTTTAAGAATAATAAAGAGACCAGACCATGATAGAGATTTAATGATAAAAAGATGAAGTAAAGGAAGAAAGGGAAGCAAAATTTCTCAAATAATTTTTTAAAGAGACATTGAGTAAAAACATAGCATTAAAAAAAGCCAATGCAGACTACAGAGGAAGTTTATCATTTAGGCCCACAAAACAACAACATACAACCCCGAAAAGGTAAAATTGAAGGCATCTTTATAAGCCAAGGAAGTGCATAGAAGGAGAGAAAGTTTTTTTTCATAGACATCGTTACAGCAAACATACCTTATCCGCTTCTTGAGCCAGAGGATTCGGCGTAATGTTCATGCGTGGCAACACACCATTCAACCTACTACCGCTGCTGCCATTTTTATGATGCGACGAAACGCTTAAAACTTGTGGTGTGACAAAGTCCGCTTGCATATGATCCAATTGAGGTTTGTTTTGATCTGGTCAGAGAAAAAAAGATAGAGAGAGAGACAGAAAGACGGTTTAGTTACTTTGTAATATTTCTTTTGAGTTCTTGTCTACGAAATTACCTTCGGTTTGTGAGTTCTTACGTTTCTTTACACATAGACAAGCTGTAACCGAAACTATAAGCAACAGGATACCTCCACCCGCGGCACCAGCTACCAATGGATATACGGAATTCTCCACGTCGCTAGCTTTACTGGAAGGATCCAGGGCTTCATTAATCGGTGTAATCGTACTAAGAGATTCTAACAAGGTAAGAAAATAATTATAAATCACGTGTCCTCCAACGACATCGGTGAGAACTTACTTTTCGTTTTTCCTTGTATGATGGAACTGAATTCAGAGGCAGCCAATTCATTGAACGACTGCAACTTAAATTCATACGCTGTGCCTGACTCGAGCATATCGATTTTGAATTTACGTGTATCCATGCCATCTACCGTGGCCTTCAAATATTCGCCTGCCGATGAAGTAGGTCGATAGTAGGCATAAAAGCCGTCCACCTCACTTTGTCCAGTCATAGCAATAGGCAACGACCAGTGCAGCATTATAGCCGAAGAACTTACAGATTCTACACGATTTAGTATAGGCACCGGCAGATTCGATTTCGATAGACCCAATGCATCGCCTCGTTGAAGAAAGAACTTCGCCGAAGTGTTACCTTCGCGGTTATCGTCATTTGAATAAACAGCTATTATCCGAAATTTATAATACCGATCAGGTTTTAAACCCGTCACCGAGGTGGTAAAATTTTTCAAAGAGTCTAGGTTCCGATTACGCTTGCCGAACGGAATATCATCGTTCGTGGTTTGCCAATTCTCTCGCGGCAGCTTATGAGATCCACCGCCTAGCATACGATACTGTACTTTAAAGAACTGTATAGGCAGACCATCGTTTTTAGGTATAAACCAACGCAGCATTACCGAATCATCTGACAATCTGGTAACATTCGGACGGGAAGGCGGAATCATAGTAGCTGAGACAATTGTTGAAAAAAAAAAAAACAAATGAAGGAAAAAACATTATTTTAAACTAAGTTTTTTGAAGTTTCAGAAGTCTTTTGTAACAAATTGAAAATATTGTACAAAAAATATGAGCAAAAAGAGAAGTAAACGCAAACCGAAAGAGATCGATTACACGGCCGAGGGCATTTTTGATAAAAATCGCTCGATAGTTTATGTTGAACATACATACGAATGCGCGATATTTGTAACGAAGGCCGACGAATTTGTTCAATATTTGCAAAAACTGTTTCCGGAGCGTGAATTTGTTTTAATACGCAACGACCAAGGAAAAATCCAACCTCGCCCAGGATCTTTTGAAATTGAGTTTTCTCAACATGCGAAGACATCAAGGCATACTCTTTGGTCGGGCATAGATAAGGGGCCACCTAGACGTGATAAATTTCCCAAATTTGATGATCTATTGCCTGAAGTGCAAAAAGTTTTAAAGAAATTTTACCCAGATGTAATAACAAATGTTGAAGATGAACTCAATGAAGACAACAACTGAAAGTTTGTATTTGCTCGATACAGATTTTGTAAAATTTTCGAGTCCAAAATTTGGTGTTTTCAATTTATAAATTAAAAATAAACAAACATGAGGCTTAAAAGAGGAAAACATATTTGGATTTATCTTTTTACCATCAGAGAGCGGGGCCTTGAAGAATATTGAACACAATTCTCGGCTTAATGCCGATGATGGCTAATAAATTAAATATTTTAACTATTATGGCTGTAAAATTTCAAGGTATCATATATCAGAATATTGAGAGAAAAATAACACTAAGAGTAATATGTCACATCCAGGTTCTTTATGAAAAATGTTGAACGATTTATAAATACTGTTGAAGTTAGAAAGAAAGGCAGCCACAAGTAATGTAAGCTAATTCTCTCTTTCTTAACGATAAAGACAATTATACGGTTTAAATGGCAGATCAGATTTCGATTTCTTCCGATTACGTATGCTTGACAACGTCGGGAGGCGCGCGTAACCAAAAGTTTTAAAATATCTGAAAATTCTTTTCTCTCTTCAACCTTTTAATATTTCATTTATCTAAACGTAAGTATTGTTTTACTTTTTATTTTTTAGCTGAACTTAAGCTATTGCTTAATTTATGCTTACGGATTTTAATTAATTTATGTAGTAATTACATTTTGTTAGCAATTTAATATGATTTCACCATTGATATTATATTTTAACAATTGGTTTTACTGTTGTTGTTCAGATAATTTGTTTGCTTGAATTCGATTTTTTAATGTTTGGAACAACATATATGTGTAAATTTAAACGTTAATAGTTATTGGTTTGCGTCTTGCAAAAATAATATAATAGATCGAAAATTACAGCACTGCACAACGATTGTTGAATTTGCGGATATGAGGCAAAATTTTGTTAGCATTGCCAGTAAAAACATTTAAAATTGCAAAAATTCAAATACGACTACTTAATTGAAAGTTTTCATTCTGGCAGTGCTCACAAACTACACTCGTGCCGCCACTTAAACTCACTCACACTAATGCATTTGCTCAATTTGTATGCGATTTTTTTAAAATGGCTACGGCTCAGTACTCGACTCACCTAGCCGAACAATGCTAAAAATCAGTTGCTCATTGAAAGGCCAAGTGAGTGGAGTTAAATATTTTATGATAGTGGAAAAAGAAGAAAATTTTGTTTGGCGCGCTTTAATTAAAAGAAAATATTAAAAATATATTTAGACTCACTACTCAATGCAAGTGTCAAAATAAATACTGAATAATAAGAAGACGCAGAAGAGTAATACGAAGGAATTTAAGTAAGAAGATGTAATAAATTATAAAGACTTGTTGAAAAAAAACTACTATACAAACCGTAATTTAACCACTTAATAATAAAAACTCTTAACGTAAGAGTGAGCTAGAGAGCGTTTAATAGAGTGAGATAAAATTAGAGTGGAAAACCTATAAACGAAGAAAAAAATTGATTTTCACAAAATTTACACTTGAAGTAGTATTTGTTGCAATTATTGCAACAACAGCAATCTAAGTAAAATCCAAACAATAACAACCAATTATTGAGTAATTAAGAAACAAGAGTCAAACGAACGTAGACTTTTAAATCATGTCTACGGATGGTTCAACGGCGGGCCAAGTGACTACTAGCATAGTAGACGATGGTTCATCGTCGCAGGGGGCTACTGGTGCAGCTGGCGGTGCTGGCACAAGCGCTGGTGGTAAATGCCAAATGCCTTTAACACCACGCTTCACCCAAGAGGAAAAGGACATTCTTTACAGTTTATTTCATCAGCATGAAGATGTCATTGATATTAAATATCGTAAAAAGAATCGTTCCAAGTATTCTGTACGCGATGCCTGGGAGCAAATTGTACGCGATTTTAATTCACATCCCAATGTTAGCGCGATGCGCAATCTTAAGCAAATTCAAAAATTTTGGTTAAACGCAAGGTAATCCTTTAATATATTAATGGAAAAGAATAAATGTGTTCAAAGGGCTTTGAGGGGGTAGTTAGAACTAAACTTTCTTTTCTCTTACCATGCATACCAGAAAAATGCACCTGTTACACTCCAATATGACAACAATAATAAAGGGCACTAATTAGTAGAAATAATTATATCCTGTAATTTGCTTGAAATAAATTCCTTTATTTTCAAGTTCTCTGTAGTCTTTTTTTTTTTTTTTTTTCTTCTTTCTTAAGAATTTTTCTCGTCTTTCACGCGCAATTTCTTATAAAATTTATAAACAATCTAAGTTAATAGATAACATTGGTGTAGTAAAATGACAATCGCACACAACGAAAATGCAAGCAAATTAAATGAACGGGAGAGTGAGAGAATAAGAAAAACTATTTTTCGCTCTTAAATGAATAAGAAAACAGAGTTGTATTCCATTATTATACAAATATGTGATACGAATTGAAGCGAAACAAGCAGAGGCAATTAATTTTATAAAAAAATCAAATAAGATGGGAAAGAGAAAAGAAACTGAACAAAAGAATAATTAAGATAGAAGAAATGTGTAATAAAAATGAAAACAAATTAATTAAATTGGAATTTGCTTGATTCATTAATTTTTTTATTGCAGGCTGCGTAAACAATATCCTTTTCGTAGCGTTACCCTTAAGCAAGAGCAAATCTCTGCCGACAGCGGTCAGAATGGTCAACAAAACGCAAGACAACAACAACAACAACAGCAGCAACAATTGGTAAATCATACCATTAAAACAGAACCAGAGTTTACTCTTAACGGTGGAGAAGCGAACGACAATAATGACCAAAGCGAATCGTATGAAGAAATGGAGATGGATGGTAATGGGGTTACCGAACTGGAGGAAAATCCTTTAGAAACACAACAACATCAGCAGCCTCAACATCAGCAGCTGCAACAAGTGGTGCCTACAACGGCTATACATACACAGCATATAAATGTTGATCAAATATCGGCGGACAAATTAACTTTAACCGATTTACTGCATTTTAAAACAGCAAGGCCTAGAGAAGATATTATTTTGCAAATCAAACATCCGGGAGAAGCCACCGGTAGGTAACTTATAAATATATGGGCTTTGTTTATTTTTATTAGGCGCGTATTTTCTTTTCTAATTTTAGCAGCACAGATTACTTTGCCTTCGCCTACACGCATCACCATACCCACGCATCAACAACAGCACACAATGGCTACTATTACAGCAAATGGTTATAATCAGCAGATCATTAGCGAAATCAAACCGCAACAGATAACGCTGGCTCAGTATCAAGCTCAACAGCAGTTGCAACAACAGCAACAACAACAACAAGTAGCCCAGCAGCAACAATTAGCTCAGCAGGCACAACTGGCTATTATACAGCAGCAGCAACAGCAACAACAAGCAGCCGCAGTAGTTGCGGCAGCCGCCGTTCAACAACAGCAACATCAACAAGTAAAAATGCAATTGCAAACAACGCCTGCTGAAGGTGCCACACAATTTGCTACCGCTACGCCCACCTTTACTTGCACTACCTTTAGTGCCTTGCCTACAGCAGCAACAGTCAGTACGGGTAATACTAATCATGTGTCAGTAGCTGCAGCCACGGCCCCAACCGTAGCCACAATTACCACAGCACCTTCCTTAAGCAGTCACAACAACGTTGTAGCGGTAAACAATGTGAACGCTGTTGCCAATTCGACGAACACATCTAACCCTACTCAAGATCCCTATGAAGAAAAAATCAACTATTTCAAGATGAAGGAGGCTGAATTGCGTTACAAAGAACAACAAGTTGCTTTGGAAAAGAAAAAAATTGAACTGAGCCATACTCAGGATCAATTGAAACATTTACGAGAAGTTCATCGCTTGCAAGTAGAAGAGTTAAAGGTTAAAATACGTATTTTACAGGAGGAAGAAAAGCAATTGCTAAAAGCTCAGTCGCCGTTAAGTAGTTAGGGAGCTGGACTCATTCCCCCTCTCCCACTGAAAAATTTTTTTCAATTATTTTGATTAACATTTAAGTATTATTGTTAGAATCGTCACTTCTCCTCCCTCGCACTTGCAGTGTCCTTTTATCCATTTTTATTTATTTATGACTTTAGTTAACACGTACAAACACAGTTGTATGAAAAAAATGTTTTTTTTTTTTTCAATTATTTTGATCAAGTATTACTTGGGAAGGTTTAAAAATATTATTGACAGCATCAGTTATCCGTTAACACTTCCACATCACGTTTTTATCAATTTTTATTTATTTATACTGCTAGTTATTATATTAAAATATACACTTATTTTAGCTATTAATTTTCTTGTAAAAACAAAACAAAAATATTTAGAAATAAACAAAAATTTATACAAAACAAAAACGCTTGTAAACTTTTCGAAGAAGACAACTTGCCCTTAGGCAAATTTATTAAAACTACAGTTCGATCACTTTTATCTCAAGTGGTCTTATTAGAAAAGAATTGCTTTGTATGTTTAGGAGGAATCCGAAGTTTGGTCAGCATTATTCGACTCCATGAATAAGTATTAGATCCAATTGTTAACTATGTTATGATTATGATGTAGCTTACCCATCATGTTGTTAATTATAATTTGTGTTGCAACATTATAAGATTAGTTTCAAACTATGTGCTTTTATTAATTATCAACTGATTCGAATTTTGATTTTAAGTGTGAAAAGTAATACACTAATATAGTTTAAGGAAATTCTTCAGGCAATCATGAAGATAGTGATAGATGAAAGCAACTTATTCCGAAATAAAACAAGAGTTGATCAGTTTTGCTTTTTTTTCTTTTTTTTTTTTTAACACGTTTCATTTTATACGATTTTCTTGAATACAGCATAGAAGATTTAATTCTTGTCGTTTGGAACAGGTCGGAAACTTTTCATCACTGATGAATAAAAGGCATGTTCATTATTATTGATCCTATTAAATATTAATGGCGACTCTTTCAATGAATTCACTTATAAATGTCCACGCTAACGAACGATGTCAACGCCAATACCATCAAGAATTAAGAAGAACAAGAATTGAAGGAGAATTATTTTGACATGAAAAAATGCAACTAATGACGCTAGCGGAAATTATTCAGTACGCATAAAGCGTGTTAGTAAATTGGGGACCATTGGGGACCATTTTATCGACAGAACTTACGGTTAATTCTTTCAAAGATCTGTTGCAAATTTTCTTATAAATAGTTCAATGGAATCGTAAATTATTTGACAAGAATAGGATAAAATTCATGAGGCGATTACGTTCATTTTTCAACTTGCCCTTTCTTCTCTCTCTCTCTCTCTCTCTCTCTCTTTAGAAAAATAAATTCCCATTAGATAGGTGCACCAGGTAAAACGAAAACTTCGCGGCGTTGTTCCCATGAGTGCCTTTCGAGTCGCGTAATTCGAATAACGTAAAGCCTATCCCGCCATATGGTAGTTCGCGAGTGACGGATAATAATCATATTGATAGCAAAAAGAAAAAATGAAAAACATTATGACATCTGTAAATCCAATCTAATAAAAAATTATTTCGTTTTGAAATGCAGCCAGAATTCTGAAAAAATCGTTCAAATTGAAAATATTAATTCGATAACGTTTTGTAAGAGCTCTGGAAAAATTTGTGGTGTTTGTGGTGACGACACTGTATCAAAATTAGAGGCAAATTAGTTTCTGGTTTGGAAATTTGAATGTTGAAGACGCATCTCGCTTTGGTCGACCAATCGTGTAAGCAGCCAGTAAAATTTTTCAAATTTAGAAAAATTATCAAAGTTTATGGTTGCGGAACTTAACTGGATGAAAAAAATCAATTTCAAATCATTTCACAGGTTCATACAAAAGGAAAATCGATTCTTAAATGTTACGTGAGTTAACAGTGAAAAATTTAATGGATCGAATTTCCGTGTGCGAATTACTGCTAAATCGAAAGGACATGCTGCCGCTTTTAAAGGAATTACTAACGAGGAATGAAAAGTCACAAGCGGGAGCAATTTGAGAAAAAGGGCGTGGGGCGAGATGAATGAATCTGCACGAACGGGAAAAGTCTCGGGTTAAAGCCATCTAACGTAATGCTTTGTTTTTGATAGATTGAAATGTTTATTGCATATCGAAAGCTGGTCCTGTCTGGCCAGACGGCTAGTTCTAATCTCAGCAAATCAATAAATACTCTCCTTAAAGTGCACAAGTAGGAGATGAAGGGTCTAAAACTGAACGAGAAGAAAGCTGCGTCTTTCATTACGACGATATTGGACTCGTAGTTACTGACTGGTCTTACATGACTCAGCAAAAGTTGAGACAAATTGGCTGGGACGTCTGTCTTATAGCCCGCGCGTTGCCCTGTTTGACTATTTCCTTCGTGCGCTTTCTCTCTCTCTCTCTCTCTCTCTCTCTCCCTCTCTCCTTCTCTCTCTTAATGAAATAAACTTGATTTTTCAAAAAAGGTCCGTGAAAATCACTTGACTTATTTTTTGTTCCAATAATTCTAGAGATTCTATAAGAAATATAGCAAAATTTGATCGATAAAAATTGCATATATCTGATTTAATGAACTTGTATCGAAATCTCAAGAAAAATGTATTTGAAGTTTGGTGGAGAAACGTCAGAAACTTTTCTTGAGTCAATTCACGTAAAAGCTTGTTAGTTCTTGTGAGTTCTATTTTTGTTGTAAGACCCCCAGGTCTACGTTCAAATGGATCATGCCTAGACTATATAAACAAAAAGGATATCTAATGCTGTTGTCAAGCATAGATCAAATGTTGACTGATGGCAATCAAGAGTGAAGAGATTTTTTTGCGGGAATACAGGCCTATGTTTAATAGTTATTGTCAAATAAAAATTGAATGTCGATTTCGAGTCAATTTTTAATTTGTATTATGAAGAAGTGAGAGATTAAGATTTAATCGAACTTGTTAAGTTCGAAGGAGATTCAGGTGACCATAGTGGCAATACTTCATTTAACGCTGGATGTATTTTCGTTGAACCGAGACTACGACAATCGACAAAAAGGACAAAAGTCAATCAGTTCTGTTGTGCTTTCACTTACCTGTTCGATGCTTTTTCTTGCCTTTATTTTTACCACCGCCGTGTTCATAAGGTAGACGTAACGGTACGTTGCCTCCAGCTGTTGAGCCGCCATGGATCTGTTTAGGATTTACATTTAAGCGATTAGCTTCGCTTATCTAAAAAGCATAAGAAACGCAAACAAATTCATTTAACTCATTTCTAATACTTGTCTTCTTGGCCTTACCTCTCCAACTTCATTTTTAGCAAAGCATTGCACTATACCCGCATGACGTTTCTGTACATGTTGTATTACCAAGCGTCGACCATCGTGCAACATTTCCTTATCTTCTGAAGTGTCTACACCATTAATTAACCAATAGATATCTGGATAAGGGTTACCAGTGGCTGAACATTCTAATTCCAACGTTTCGCTTTCATTCGCTGAGGTTCGAGCCGGACCTCTTAAAATTTTAGGTTTCTCTAATACAGTAAATTTAATAATGTGTACTAAAGCAGGAGCGATACCATTATCTAAACGGCAGACATAGGAGCCTTGATCCTCGGTAAGAACGTTATTAATTTGCAGGCCATAGGGTAGCATATGCGTGCGATTGTTATTCATGTTCACAACATTTGGCGAACTCCAGACGGCTCCTGGCGGTGGCGATCCAACGCCTGGACACTCTAAAACCACTGTATCTCCGGGTCGAGCCGTCACTTGTTTAGGGGGCTGTGCTAGAAAGTAAGGAGGCGTACGATCACTGTAATCTACTCGCAAGTCAATACGCTGCGGTAATTTTACTTCTTGACCCGTAATAGGATTCCTTGCCGAACATGTGTAATTACCGGAGTCTTTACTAGTGACCGTATTTAAAATTAGTGCACCACTAGTGGGCACAGAATCAGTTTGCTGTATTTTTTCGCCATTTCGATAAAAATTCCATATTGCTGTTGGATTAGACGTTACGATACCGCAACGTATTAAAGCACAATTTTTGGGAGCTACGTTCCAGCGGATTGCGTTCCGTGAATAGCCATTCGAATTGTCTATGGTTATGGAGACTAGAGTTAAACTGGCAGAGGTTGAAGCAATCGCTGCTGAACCGAACCAAGCCACACATTGATAATCGCCTAATGTTTCAAGTTGAACGAAAACGCGCAATTTTGAAGTACGATCTTCGTTGGTTACATTATACCCCTCCTATAATAGGCACAAAGAGAACAAAAATTAGCTAATGATTTATAAATTTCCTGTTATTAAGAGAATCGAGTTCCAGGAAGCTTAAGTGTAAATGAACTTGTTTGCCTATTCAGGAAAATGCTGTTTCCCGAATGCCCAAGTTTTTAAAAAAAAACTCACAGCATGTGCTCTTGCTTGGAAATATTCATTGACAGGTTAGGAGTGCGGAGCTTCTTTACGTCGGAAATAGTTCGAAGTTTTCATATTCGGTTTTAGTTGCTGCAGCCGCGAGAGTATCAGCAGCAGATGATGGACTCACGAACGGTTAGGTCGTAGGAAGTAGGTAATTCAACTAGAAATCTGGCCGGGGATATGTATGTCAGACACATACATAAATCGTAATTGGCGCTTTTTAGAGATGGCGTCATTTTGCCTGTGGGCGTTTATCAAACGGCGGCCTCTTCATGCGAAAGAGTCAAACATTAACTTTACGTGGCAGTACAAGTTACTCTGTTAAAAAGCACGCTACACAATACACATTACATAGATATATATATATATATATATACATATATATATAGATATTTTATATGTAAATAGTACGAATTTCGTGTTAAAAAAAGGCAAATGCGGAAAGCTTTATTTTTACTGTTAAATTTAAAGGAGAAAGCGGTGGCACGTAACGCGTGATGAAAAGTAGGCGCGTCGCAATGTCGGAAACGCAAAAAAAACCTTGGTGCAGATTAACCTCCTCATTATCATAAACATTGCCGCTAAAATGAACGGAGTGTGTTGTGAGCTGCTAGAATTCAGTGAACCAATCACTGAGGGACCCCGCCAACGACAACTGATACAATTGCTCTGATCATTGAGGAGAAAAATGATTACAATATGAGAAAGAATATTACAAGTGGGAGGTTGCAGCATGAGGACGATCGCCCCAGAATTGCGAAATATTTCAATGCCTCCAACTGATCAATTGTCTTTCGACAAGCAACACATTTTACTTTCTTCTCTTCGAAGCCTTCTCTGGGAAGGTGGGCTTTTGTTTGCAAAAAAAAGAAACCGGTCATAAAGTGTTTTTGCTCCTGGCATACTTTTGCATTTCATAATAGGAATGAGAAATCGCTCTATAATTTTCATTCTGTATTAAGAATTGAATACCCATAGCAGATTAGTGTGGATTTGCAATACATTCTCGCTGTTAGAGGGATTTGTGATTAGGCTTTTCGACCGTTTTGTTATTAACTTACCTCCACTGATAAGTAATGAAAATTGCTGCCATCTATGGCTCGTTTACTGGAATGACGGAATTTCCATTTTAAACGTTCTGGACTTAGATTCAATTCACATTCGAATACAACTTCATCGCCCTTAGGAGCCACAGCTGATTCTGGAGAGCGTACCACATGAACACCTAAAGAGCTTCCCGGCATAGCTTCCGTAATCACGATGTGGCAATTAATGGCAACGGAAAGTAAAAGAAATGCCGCTACTGATGTTAACAATGTTGTCGCTGTTGTTAATGTTGATGTTGATGTCATTATGGTCGCTGATGATGACGATGATGATGCTGATGAGCAGGTGTTGCTCGTAACTCTTGTTATTGAAAATGTTGTATGCATGTGTGCGTGTCTATGTGTTTGAGTTGTCTATAAGGTAAGTAGCTTGATTGTTAGTGCAATAGCAATGGCAATAACGAACATTAAAAAATTTCTGTCACCATCAGTGCCGATGAATCGTTAAAAACCAAAGAACGTTGCCTGTAACGAGAGAAAAAATTTAAAAATAATTTTTATAAATTATTAATTGGAAAAACATAATGACGAGAAGGAAAGGTAAGACTTGATTAAACATCTGTTGTTAGTTAAAGAAAACATTTTTATATGTGCGAGCACTTACACTTATATATATATATATATATATATATCCATATATATATAAATAAGTATACGTCCGTATGTACGGCGGGGCTTGTTGAGTTTAAAAAGTTCATAACGATATAGAAAATTGCACTGCTACACATAAATCAAAAACGAGAGGTAGAAAAAAAAAACAAAAAAAAAAAAAAAAAAACACATTGAGCGGCAAGTTATCATTAAAGCAACAGCAACCACCAAAGGCACATAGCGAGAAGAAAATCTGTAAACTGAACGTGCAACACAAACAAGTGACAACCATTGCATACCAATGCAAGGCACCGGCGACAAGGATCATTTCGTTTCGTTAGTTTTTGCATTCGTTTGGAAGCCTACCAAAAAAAAAAAAAAAAAAAAAAAAAAAAACGAACAAGAAAAAGAAAAAAAGGGAAAAAGAAACGCTGCACATATGTTATACAAATACCAATAAGGATAACTTAACAATATAAAATCGCTTTGGCGACTATATGCTCCGATGCAATCATTTCGCGAATGCAGAAAAATCAATAAATATATTTCTTGTTTTTGCTTTGCTCTTTATCTGGTTTTGTAAGGTTTAGTTTATAAATAGTATGACCACTGGTTACATTTCTGGCCGGTGGTGCCTCATCGAAGAAACTTAATCGGGCATCGGGAATGCCACACACCCGAGAGAAACGTTTATCAAAGTGGTGGCACAGCATGTGTTCATTTATTCGTTATCCCCGCGGTCCTCAGTTAACAAGTTTTCTGCGTTTACCTATCTCTTTACTAAGGTGGCAAACTCTTTTTTTTTTTTTTTTTTTTTTTTTTTTTTTTTTGCAGCAGATTCATTTCATTTCATTCTCTTCTTTTTTTTTTGCGGTCGGTCGTTTAGCAATTGCTCGGCTGCAACATCTTGAGCATGCACCAACAACAGCAATAAAAAGAAGAATATATATATATATATATATATATATATATATATAATAGCAACAACAACCTGTTATTGATATTGCATATTATGCTGGGCTAAGTTAGTTTGGATATAACGTTGTAATGTTGATTATTTGTGCTATAAGCCTATACGAGTTGAAGAGATAAGCGCAACAATTGTTGAAAGGCGTCCGAACATTTCAAAAAGAAAACGGACAACAAGTGAAGAGAATTATGATTATTTTCATTTATTTATTTTCTTTGCATTCTTTCCTTGATGTGCCATGAAATGATCAATTCAATAAATTGGAAGACAAGAAGTCGTACCACCTGACATAGTTCGGAACGAAGCTTACAATCGCCTACCGCATACGACGCGCGTGTGACGATCATTCCTTTAAACTTTAACAACTCGATACCTCTTAGCTATATACGCGCTTTATAATTTATAGAGCTGTTAAATAAATTTCGAAAAAACTTTGCATTTTTTTTTATTCGCCTTACATTAATGTCTTAATTGCCATCGCTGCTAATGAAGGAAAATTGCTTTTATTGCTTAACAACGCCCAGCTCAAAACTCATATGTTATTTCGAATATATTATTTGAATATGGAAGCGAACGACATATATACATATATATATATATATATATATATATATATATATTGGATTTTTCGTTTCGTAAACGATGAAACGAATACGTGCAACGCAGTGCTGAGTCGACATTCTGGCCTTTGTTTTCCGTTCAGGTTTTCGCGTCCACTAGCCCAGCACCAGCGATTTTGAACAAATTAAGATTTTCACCGATAACGACCGGCATGGGGCAGATCCTCAACATTGATCGATAAAGTGTTTCTTTTCAAATATAATCGATTTTTGTTACGCGTACTGCGTCGATTAGCAAAAAAAGAAAAAAAAGTGGAAACAATAGTTTTCGATGAAAGCCTAGAACCAGTTCGCCGCATAGACGAGATATAGTAAAATATGGGCTGTATTTGCAAGGACTAACGGCAAACATGTTTGAAGAATATCAAAAACGTTGGCAAGGGCTTCTCATCGAAATGTCCGTAGTTCGTTTTCAACTTTTCAGATTATGCTATGAGCTATTTGTTGTCGTTTTTATTGTTGCAATCATGAAAGAGTGCATGTTCCCAGCAGTTTTTGAATATCAATCAAGTTTTCGAATTCGATCGCTTTAATTTTACGCGTATTAGAGTTTATAGGCGAATAAATGGGAGTCGCGTGTGACAGGATTCGAATATGTTTCACCCTTCAAAATGTTTCCATTCCAAATGATGAGATTGCACTCAAGCGACTTAGCGATGAAGAAAATTTTTTAATTACGATCCATTCTCCGGATCTGGATACCCTATGCGAATTATTTGTAGCTTATTTTGGACAAAGATATTGATTATCTTTCATATGTGCAACAAATCTTATTAACCTAAGAGCCGAAATCGAAATACCATTCATTACCCATTTTACCGTAAAACACAAGTTTTGCATCTATGGCTTGGGATATTGAGTGACGGTTCGTTGTTTTCCGAAGGTGATGCTATATAATCGGTGCTTTAGGATAATGAATGAAATTGTGACTTTTTCTTTGGAATGCCCTGTCTTTAAGCTGCCTCGAAATGTATGCAAAGTTTGAATAGGTAGAACTGTATCCCAAAATGAAACATCTTTTGAGTGAAACTTTTTGCTTTTGCTGCTTCAAGCGGAAGATGGTCTTGCTGAAGCGTTACGCGTTATAATATCTAACTCTAATATTGTTTAGGCAAACAAGTTAACACACGATAACGATACAGCTGAATATCTATTGCGGTTCCGTTTGAGTTGTGTGTGTGTGTCTGTGTGTGTGTGTGTGGGAGGGGGAGGCCAGTTGGGTTGGCTGTGTTGTGCTTTCTTTCAATCAAATCATCAGTGAACGTCATCAACAACAATAATGCGTGCGCAGCATAACCAATTTCAGAAATTTATAGAGAAAATGTGAAAAGTTTTAAGCAAACACCGAGTATTTCGTAGTAAGTCCAAATTACACACATATCTCGGAACAGTTGATTACTTCACATCAGCGGAGTCAAGTGTTTGAGTGTTTGCGGGTGGATGATGGATTCTTTGCTTACCGAAAACAAAAAAAAAAGCAATGAATCTAAAGCACATGTGTTTACTTTCCACGTTCACGGCTGTAATTAAATTCCTTATATATACTCCTTTAAAATGCTAGCATCTGGCACGCTGGGAATGTACGAAATTCCATAAATCTATTTAAGACATATACGAACGGTGCCTATTGCAATTGAAGTTCTTTGTGAAGTATACGCTACAGGACGCAATATTTATAAGCATCATCTAATAATATGGCCTTGAATTAGTTTTGATGGTTGATGTGGCATATTTGACGGAGACCAACAAGAGTAATAAACGTAAGAATACTTTTTTACTTGATTTCATGTTAAATTGTCTCTTAATGGACTCGATCTATCTCAAAAAAAAAAAAAAAAAAAAAAAAAAAACAAAAACGTCCTGTTATTAACGATCATTCGAATGGAAAGAATGGCTTTAGACCAAGTTTTATAGTAAGAAAGAGTAAGAAACGATGAAAAAGTCCAACATCAAGTATTTTAAACAACATCAATTTTCTCTCAACATCCTTCTTTCCTTTTTTTCTTTTTCATTTTAACACTTATAATTTAAAATTTCCGTTAAATTACTTCGATTAAATATTTTTAAAAGAACAACAAAAAAAAAAAAAAAACAGTAAATAAATAAATAAATAAATAAGTAAATTCCAATATTTTTACGCAGAAACAGTCAAATTGCTGCCGAAAATTTCGCCCTCAGATATTATTGCACATTATAATCGTATAATATTTCTAGCAATAAAAAAAAAAAAAATAAAAAAAAAAAAAATTTTTTTTTATTCCTTCTATAAAATATAGCCCCAAACGAACGAATCATAATGACACTCCATTATCATTATGCAGCAAGAACAATAACAATATATAGGCCCCATGTGCGCCGACACATTTGTGCGCAAAAGTGGATTTCAATGGCTGGTTGTTGATGGATATCGAAGTACATCAAATATGCAACAGGCAGAAATGGAAAAAAGAAAAAGGCCAAGCTGGCAAGAAGACGAACAGTGAAAGATAAACACATGGAGAGATAGGCAGACAGACAACAACACCATGCGTATATAAATGGTACCGACCCATCATCCACAAACTCATCATCAATTGTCACAATCGTCGTTGTATGCATCATCGAATAAATGCTGTTGCTGTTGCCGTTGCTGTTGATGTTGATGTTGTTGTTATTGTTATTGTTGTTATTGCTCCTATTGTTGTTACTGTTAATCATGATGGCAAGGATGGTAGTTGATCGAAATCAGATGATGGGTTTTGATGATACCATTCAATGGTTTCGGTTGTTTTTTTGCTTTTGTTTTCTCTTTCTTTCTCTCTTTTCTTCATGACACTTCAAATGTGCTTCACTCAACGTATCGTTGCTCTCCATGTGTGCTTATAACCATCTGCACGAGCAACTCTAGTTTAAACGCAATTTTTGTCTTTTGACTTCAAGCCGCCTCAAGCTTTCTCTTTCGCGCTTCCTATCCCTTCTTCTATATTACTTCGGTTTCATTATTTGCTTCGCAAAAAAAAAAAAAAAAATATGTAAACAATCTTTGCCTTAAATATGTTGAGGTTATGTTCGCAATCATCGCGTTAACGTATATGGAAGCAAAGGCATATCTGCAGGAAAGTCTGCAATCACTGAAATGTGGATCAAGACTGTAGAGGATTTAGAGTCGGATTAGCATTTTTACAAATTTTAATTAGGGCCATGGAATAGTTTAGGCAAACCAAGTCCGTAGTCAAACAGAGACTGAATGGTTGCATTTCGGAA